CACACACACACACACACACACACACACACACACACACACACAGGCTTGCTTTGATACTTTTTATATAAAACAGTAGGTCTACCTAAAATATTCTACACATATTCGAGTCAATTATTTTGTGCAGAATAATGACATTAAATCAAGAATTCAAAGATTTTTTATTTTTCAYTCCTAATGAGCATTATGAGGAATGAAAGATAGATGAGGCCCCTGGTGTCAGGAAAAAATACAATAAGAAATTAAAATGAAAAACAGAAGAAAAAATGCACACAGTGTGTCACACATGTATTTGTAGAGGTGACCCACATGTTTATTGACAATTTAAGAAGCTCGAAGCTTTTGTTATTGTCGGTCCTAAACTTTTATAGGAAACTGATTGCTCACAATTAAGTGTACTTTTGTGATTTTGTATGATTTGTAAAATAAACGATCAAATTATTTATGGATCAAATCAAAATTCACTGACTTAGAGTCATTTTTTGTGTCCATTCATTTTGCAAGGGAGTAATATTTTACCGAAAATAAGAGATCCTTGCTAATTTAAATTCCTTATAACTTTGTTATAAGAGTGTAAGACTGAACTCTTACATATTGCAACATACAAACATTCAGCCATAGTAGAGTGATCGTTTCTAAAAAAATTAAATGAGATTAATCTATGCCCAGGACTAATGAGAACACAGAAACGACCCAGTTAGGAATGATGTTTGGAAGATAAATTCAACAGATATTAACCTGCGCCTCTTGTTCTGTGCGTTGGYGGTGTTGGACCCCTGCTGGTTCAGTCTGTCTGAAATCGACTGCTCATTACGCCACTGAAAGAGAAAGAGACGTGAGTAAAACCCAGAACTGAACCTGTTCATCAAACATTAATAAATTCTCTTACACTGGCTTGTTTCTGAGACAGCTCCTCCAGGAGCTCTGACAGGTTCTCATCAGCCACATCGAAAGGTGTCTGACCCTGAAAGGTTTGACTCAGGAATAAATAAAAGAAAAAAATGAATTCCTCATTCAAATGTAAGAGWAGTGGCCCTCACCCCGTTGCTGCGAGCCTCCATGTTGCACAGCTGCTCGGCCAGGATGCGACAGGCCTCCCCCTGACCCCAGTGAGCGGCGGCGTGGAGYGGCGTCCAGCCGTCCAGGTCTGTGGCCGACACGTCCAGCCCGCACTGACACAGGATCCTGCAGGAGCAGAGAAACACCAGTTAAATCAGCCCGTCACACCTCTGCTGTTCAACCAGCTCAGCTCACTTCAGGGCCTCCAGGTAGCCTTTGGCAGCAGCCACATGAAGGGGCGTGGCTCCGGTTTTCGGGTGGCGAACATCAGCAGGCGGACCCTCGTTCAGCCAGGTGCGGGCGTCTGACATCATCTGCTCCTCCTCTTTACGTTTAGCCGACTCCACGTCCACGCCTTAAAAAACCAGCACAGCATTACGTGAAGGACTGCACGTGGCTCACAAACACCTGATCTAAACATGTCCTAAATAACAAACAGGAACAAACCGTCCCACAAACTTTCAGTCTTTGAGGTTAGAAATAAACTCAGAACTGTTATCTGTGTTTAGTTTTTAAAACCTCCTGGTTTTAAAGGAACACAGAGGAAGACACACAAAACAAACACATATTTGGTTGTGAGAAATAAAAACGAAGCACAGAACAATGGTCCAGAACAGAGGAAGTTCTGGTGTCATATTTCCCACCAAAACGTTTGTTGACACAGAAACTTGATGCTCGTTGGAAGAACACAGAATCAGTTTAAAAACAAAAATAAAAGCTCTGATGTTCACCTCTGCCCCGCCCCTCACTGTACCTGCACACTCAGAGGGGAGGAAGGTGTGTGTGTTTAAAACCTATTCATTTTCCTGACATCTGAAGCATGTTCTAAATACTTTCAGGGTTTCCTCTAGGATTTTTTTTAACCRTGGYGGTGTGGTGACCTCTCTGTATACAAAGTGTCATATATACAAATGTTGTCAGTCAGCAGGTTGACAGTTTTAGGAGCTGCTTGAGGAGAACTTCCTCGTTCTCCTCCTCATCCTCTTTGAAATAGAGATAAAAAACAACATCCATCCATAAGCTTTCTGCTTACAGGTCAAACATTTTTATTTAAATAGGAGTAAACTGTGTACTTATTAAAAGTTACAGTTTAGTGTTCTTAGGACBGAAGACTTTCTGAGGAAAGAGGTTTGTAAACATCTTTTCTATAACTTTAGTGTTTTCAACTGAGGAGCTTTGATATATTTATTTTACATAAATTATAGCAGAGGAAGTATAGCACAGAAGAAAAAAACAATTTATTTTTACTGTTTTTTTAACCAAACTGACAAGTTTCTGCAGTAAAATTGTTGTGTAATTTAAAGGCAATGAAACACCTGGTTAAATTTAGAAGATATTAACTACAAACATCTGAAGCTGACTCAGAGAACTCTGTGATTTTAGAAAAAATAAAAGTCAAACATAGACACGTCTTTAAAAGACCCCCCTCTCCTCCCCACCCCGCACAGCTGAGGTCCACCTGCACCTCCACTCCACCTGCATGTGATTAATACTGATTTTTTTTTTTTGCGCAAATGACAGATTTTTGATGCTCATTAAACAAGTAACCGTCTGAAGGGGTTGACGTGGACTTTAAAGTCCCGGGCTGGTCAGAGCCGTGATGCGTGTGGAGAGGAGCAGCTGCTGGTCCACCTGCCTCCCTGAGACCCTCGATTTAAAAACAGTCAGGTGACCTGTCGTGGTTTTGTTGTGCTCGAGTCGTGAACACACGGTGTTCTGGTAGAAATACTGTGAGCTGCTTTTAGG